TCTCTCTCTCTCTCTCTCTCTCTCTCTCTCTCTCTCTCTCTCTCACTCTCTCTATCTTCCCGTTTAAATGCGTATTGTACAAATTTATCATTCATCATCGCCATCGTCATCGTCATCATCATCTTCACTGTCATCACGATCAACATTGTAAAACAACTAAATACGTAACTGACGCAACCACGTCTTATTTTATAAACCGAAACACACAACCACAATATTCCCCCAATACCAACACCAATCTGACCCCGACTCCAACTTTGGTTCCGGATCTGACTCCGACTCCGAATCTGAATCCGCCTCCGTCTTCGTCTCTGTCCATGTTTGTGCCTTCGGGTCCGCTGTCGTTAACTTGCGCATGTGAAGAGTATGGACGCGGCTGTGCCGACATTGGGTGCCTGCCCACTGAGGAGTGCGTCATCACTAGCGACTCGTGCAGCTACAATCAGCGCGATGGCAAGGACTGTGGCAGCTATCCGACCTGCAAGCGCAAGAGCGGCTCCAGTACCAACCAGGCTAACCCCTCTTCTTCGTCGTCGTCGGTTAATCCGTCAGGTATTTATTTTGCTTTTTATTTTCATCTTTGGTTTTCTTGTTTTTGTTTTCTGTGCGGTTGGGAACTTGGCGAGCTTTACCAAATTGATGGCGGATCGAACGCCGCATACAAGACGGACGGACTTATCGGACATTTAGAGAAGCGTACAAAAATCGATATGTACATGTATTATAGTTGACTACAGATAATTATGGATTATCATTTGCTTAATTTTCTCTGATTTCGTATTTAAATAACTACACACATACACAAATAAGCTTTTGCCTACTAACCCCACAATACACTCACGCAAACAGCAATGCTAAGCGCTGTCTTTGTCTAACACACACACTCACACACAAAAAGAACTAGCACTGAAGTGTGTTTGGTCTTTCGATTCATTCCACTTGCACTTTCGCCCGCTCATTCATTGCCTCATTTTACAGCACTGAGCTTTTGACTGGTGCACAGCACTGGAAATACATCAGCTTGCTTACTCGCTTGCTCGCTCACGCCCTCTCCCGCACTGTCCCCAGCTGTTGGGATTGGCGATGAGTGGCTCGCTCGCATGCAGCAGCTGCCGCCACGGCTGCTGCTGGCTGATCGGTCATCGCTGTTTAACCAAGTGTCCTACATTTGTACATCTCTTTCATTCTCTCACACTGCTCGCTCACATCGTGGCAATGGCAATCATCAATGGCTTTACTAACAGGATCCAACCTGAACACGGGCCCCGAGAATAAAGTATTCGCGCCGGCTTCATCGAATCCCACTCTTAACACCTACACTTACTTCAGTCACAGCAATCACAATAACAACAATAACAACCAGAACGGAGGGCACGCAAATGGCAACCAGCAGCCGTCAGGCAGCCATCAGAATGGCGGCCAGGGCGGCGCCCAAAACGGTGGCCAGGCAATCAGCCAGAACGCCGCGAATGCCGAGGGCTCAAACGGGGCCGCCGGCGCCTCGGCCACCGGCATCGATCAGCACTACGTGTTCGGGGCTAAGCATCATATGCCCATCATACCCAATATGCCCATATTTCCCTACAATTCGCCAACGCAAGCGCCATCATTTCAACAGTTTCCCCAACCCAACCATCCAGGCAGCGTGCTCAACCCGGGCTATCCAATGCATGGCCTGCAGCCGGTGAACCCCTACAATCCAGCGTTCGTATTTGGCCAGCTACCGTTTTATTCAGGACCGGCCGGCACTGGTGGGCCGCCGGGGGGCGGCGGTGCCGGCGTTGGCATGCCCAGCTCTAGCATGGGCATCCTCGGAGGCGGCGGCGGCGGTCTGGCGCCATACGGCAGTAACTACCAGGGCTACCAGACCCACCACTCGAATGCGAACATGTACAACAAGCCGCCGCCACAGTACCAGAACCAGAACCAACAGAATCCCTACAATCGCCAGACCCAAGCGCATCCTTCGGCAGCTCTGCGGTGCGGTAACTCCAGCGCCTCGCTCATCGGCCTGCTCGCGGTCCTTGTGTTGCTACTGGCCCACCGAGGCAGCGCCAGCGGCAGCACGTAATGCAGCAGCAGTCGCTCCGGATCCTGCAACACGACGACGATCAAATCAGCTTTTGCTGTTTCTTTTTTCCTTCAATTCCCATTATTATTTTACTTTAACTTTTTACCCTGGTCTTACGGACACTAGATTAAGGAATGCGCTTCGAGTCGGACTCAACAACATTCGCAGCGACTAGAGAGTTGGCGATCTCACGATCGCACTCCAAGTGCAACAGCAGCCACAACAACAACTATAGCAATAACAGCTAAAAAGTTAGATTTAAATATGCATGTGGATATTTGCATATAGCTGAAGCATAGACAATATATTCTGGGAGCTATCTCTGTTTGAATATGCTCTCAAGTCACGTCCAAGTGTGTGTGTGTGTGCGTATGTGTACGTATGGGTCCATTTGTGTGGTCTAACGAGCCGCTGTAATAGTCGTTGCCCTGAAGGCTCGTTGCACTCGTTGCTCCATGCTTTTTGCAGCTCAATTAAATTGGAATTTAATTTCGGGCTTAGACCGGACATCAGCCGCAGACTTAGTTGCGCATCAGACATGCATTCACATAACCACCCACACCCACACACACATACACACATGTGTATACTCTGGTAGCAACTTTGATGTTGGATGTTAATTTAATTTTTGTTGCTGTTACAAATTTTGTGGCAATTATTTCGCTGTTCATATTGCTGCAGTTGCTGTTGCACTTGCACTTGCAGTTGCTGTTTCTGTTTCTGGTGATTGAAATTAACGCGACCACCACCCCCCCTCTCCTCTCCTCTCCTCTCTCCACGGCCCCGCACTCTGTTGTGGAAGCACATGTGCTTGTCAATCAAAATGCATACAAATAAGCTGATTTAAGGCTGCAAAGAAGCAAAGAAAGAACAAATAAATATAGGTGCGCTAATAATTAGAAATCGAGAACTTTAAAGAAAAATGTGCACAAAGTACACAATTAAATGTAATTTTAAACAATTTTTTTTTAAATACAAAACTTAAAATCTAAACACAAATAAAAGCTAAGCCAGTAATAAAACAGTAAGACCGGATACAACAAATATATTCACGAATACAGTTACGTATCTGATTAAATGCCAAAAGTAACAATCTCTAGTTGCTGTCCGATATATGCTATCGATCACATTCGTGCATCGATCAATACCAGAAACGAGGAGCTCATCGGACAGCAACTTCCTCTATTCTTAGTGGAATGAAATCCAAGTTAAATGACAACCCAACAAGTGAAGATTTATACATATGTATGTTTTCCAATGTAATTAAGAGGAAATTCCCATATTTCAACTAATTTCAAGAGATTTCAATATTTTTTTGGCATTTATTATAACTATTATTGTTATTTTTATTAATATTATCACTATCACTAATATTATTATTATTATAATTCAACAATAATTTGCAATTTTGGTGTACAACTGTTTTCATATAATTATTTTGTATATTTGTTCTTTGTAATTTGTATTGCAAATTAAATTTTCCCTTACCAAATTTTAATATAATAAATTCATGTTTTCTCTTTTCCTTTTTTTTTATTATTGTGACTCAAATTAATTTGTGAATAAATCTACTGCAAATATAGCAAACCAAAAGTTTATACACGTATAAATATAATTGCTCCGTCCGAACACGCATTCTGCGCATTCTTGTTATTATTTCCCATTTATTTAAACACTCACTCACACATACACACACCGACGCAAATAAACAATGGCATTAATTTGAATGGAAGTCTACTTATAAACAAAAATTCAAAAAAACAAAATAATTAAAACAATGAACAGTATTAAAGAACTAACTAAAGCATTTGATGAAATACATACATACATACATACAATTACATATATATGTATATATATATATTTACATATATATACATATATATGTAATATATATATATATATATATATATATATACATATATACATATATATACATATATATATATATATATATATATATATATATA